GGGGCATCTTTAGAATTTTCTATGTATAGTATCTGTCATCTGCAAACAATGACAGTTTTACTTTTCCAATTAGAGTCTCTTTTACCTACCTATCTCTGCTGTAGCTAGGACTTCCAAAACTATGTTGAATGTTTAGAGTCAACTTCCTTGTCTTGATCTTGGAGGAAATGCTTTTAGGTTTTCACCATTGAAAATGACGTGTTCTGTGGGTTTTGTCATTTAATGGCTTTTATTATGTTGAGGTAAGTTTCCTCTATAACTACTTTCTACAGTTTTTTTTAAATCACAAATGGGTGTTTTGAATTTTGTGAAATTGTTTTGTGTCTACTGAGATGATCATATGGTTTTTATTCTTCAATTTGTTAATGTGATGTATCACACTGGTTGATGTGTGGATACTGAGGAATCCTTACATCACTGTGAGAAATCCCACCTGATTATGATTTATGTTCACGTAATGTGTTGTTGGATTCAGTTTGCAAGTATTTGTTGAGGATTTTTGTGTCTGTGTTCGTCAGTGATACTGACTTGCAGTTTTCTCTTATTGTGGTATCTTTGGCTGATTTTGGAATCAGGGTAATAGTAATGGTGACCTCATAGAATGAGTTTGTGTGTTCCTTCGTCCACAGATTTTTGTAAGAGTTTCAGAAGAATAGGTATTAACTCTTCTCTAAATGTTTGATGAAATCCACAGCCATCTGGTGCTGGACTTTTGTTTGTTGAAAGATTTTACATTACAGTTTCAACTTCATGGCTTGTGATTGGTCTGTTGATATCTTGTATTTCTTTCGGGTTCAGTCTTGGAAGGTGGTACCTTTCTTAGGATTTGTGCATTTCTCCCGGTTGTCCGATTTATCATCTTAGAGTTGCTTGTAATAATGTATTATGAGCCTTTGTGTTTCTACAGTGTCAGTTGTCATTTCTCCTTTTTCATTTCTAATTTTATTGATTTGAGTCCTCTCCCTTTTTTTCTTGATGAGTCTCTATGAAAGTTTACCGATGTCAATTATCTTCTCAAAGAACCAGCTTTTAGTTTCATTGGTTATTTTTTTGCTCTTGTTGTCTTCATTCCCATTTCATTTATTTCTGCTCCAATTTTTCTGATTTCTTTCCTCCTACTAACTTTGTGTTTTGTTTCTTCTTTCTCTAGTTGCTTTAGGTGTAAGGTTAGGTTTTTTTTTTAGTTTATTTTTTTATTGAAGGATAATTGCTTTACAGAATTTTGTTGTTTTCTGTCAAGCCTCAACATGAATCATCAGGGTTAGGTTGTTTATGTGAGAGTTTCTTGTTTTTTGAGCTAGGATTAAATTGCTGTCTATTCCCTTTTAGAACTGCTTTTGCTACATCCCACAGGTTTTGGGTGGTAGATTTTGTGTTGCTGTGTTTGCACTGTGATTTGTTTAATGTATTTTTTCTTTCCTCTTTGATTTCCTCAGTGATCTCTCAGTTATTTACTAGTGCATTGTTTAACTTCCATATAGTTTTTTGTTTAGTTTTTTTAATGTAATAAATTACTAATCTTATAGTGTTGTGATTGGAAAAGATGCTTGGTACAATTTCAATTTTTAAAATTTACCAAGGCTTGATTTGTGACCCAAGACATGATCTATCCTGGAGAATGTTCCATGGGCATTTCAGAAGGAATTGTATCCTGTTGCTTTCGGGTGGAATGTCCTATAAATATCATTTAAGTCTATCTGGTCTCTTGTCTTTTCATGGTTGTGTTTCATTATTAATTTTCTGTTGGGATCATCTATTCATTGGTGTAAGTGGGGTGTTAATTTTCCCTGCTATTATTGTGTTACTGTCAATTTCCTCTTTTATGGGTGTTTGCCCTTTGTACTGAGGTTCTCCTAAGTTGGGTGCGTAAATATTTACAATTATTATATCTTCTTTTGGAATTGATCCCTTGATCATTACGTTGTGTCCTTCCGTGTCTCTTGCAACAATCTTTATTTTAACATATATTTTGTCTGATAAGAGGTTAGCTCCTCCAGCTTTCTTTTGATTTCCATTTGCATGGAGTAGCTTTTTCCATTCCCTCACTTTCAATCTGTATGTGTCCCTAGGTCTGAAGTGTGTTTCTTATAGACAGCTTATAAAGTGGATATTGTTTTTGTATCCATTCAGCCAGCCTATGTCTTTGGTTGGAGCACTTAATCCATTTACATTTAAAGTAATTATTGATACATATATTCCTATTGCTGTTTTCTTAATTGTTTGGATTTTTTGTTGGTGGTGGTCTTCTTTCTTCCCTCTTCTATCTCTTGTGGTTTGATTACTAGTGCTGTGAGGTTTTGTTCTTTTTATTATTTGTTTTTAACTATACTGGGTCTTCATTGCTGTGTGAGGGCTTTCTCCAGTTGCGGTGAGTGGGGGCTACTCTCTAGTTGTGGAGTGTGGACTCCTCACTAGAGTGGCTCCTCTCATTGTGGAGCACAGGCTTGAGAAGGTGCATGGGGTCAGTAGTTGTCACGCACGGGGGTGCCTCACAGCATGTGGGATGTTCCCGTACCAGGAATCAAACCTAGGTGTGCTGCATTGGCAGGTGGATTCTTGACCACTGAGCCACCAGGGAAGCCCCCTATTGTTGTGTTTGGCTGATTTTTTCTTTTGTAAGTGTGTGTATCTATTGTAGTTTTTTGTTTTGTATTAATAGTTCCCATGAGATTTTGATATTGCAATCTGTATATGTACAAAGTTCTATTTTTCCACTTTAAGATGTGAGATATATATAAAGGGGCTTCCCTGGTGGCTCAGTGGTCAAGAATCTGCCTGCAGTGCAGGAGTCCCAGGAGATGCTGGTTTGATCCCTGGGTCAGGAAGATCCCCTGGAGAAGGAGATTGCAGCCCACTCCAGTATTCTTGCCTGGGAAATCCATGGACAGAGGAGCCTGGCGGGCTACAGTCCATGGAGTTGCAAAGAATCAGACACAGTTGAGCAGCTGAGCACATTTGCCTTCATATCTGTATATTAATATTAGCTACTTGATTCCTTTTCTGAGTCTTCAGTTTTTATAAACTGGTCAGAAATCAACATTTCTAATCACCATGTTTAAATTAGGTTTCATATTTAAACCACTTATCTGTGCTTTATGGTGACTGACAGCTTCTAACACTGTCTCCCTCCTCACCTGGATCCTACTCTTTTTTGCAGCAATTTTAAAATAGCAGCTTATTGGGATATCTCAGTAAATCACATAGCACGCAGTTCACCCACTTAAAGTGTACAGTGGCTTTTAGCACATTCACAGTTGTGGCCTGTCTCTACTGTGAATGTTAGAATATTTTCATCTCCTCTAAATAAAAACCTGTACACAGTGGTAGTCACTCACTGTCTCCACCCACCTCCCCAGCCCCTGGCAACCACGAATCTACTTTTTGGCTCTGATTTGCCCGTTCCTGACACTTCATATCAGCTAAATTATACAATATGTGACTTTCTTGTGACTAGCTTCTTTCACTCTGCATCATCTTTTCAAGGAAGTTCTTCATTCCTCCTGTTGGCTGTATGATGGTCTGGCAGTGCTATGTCTTGTTCACTAGTTTATGAACTTTGGGGTTGCTTCTGCTCTTGAGTTATTATAAATAATGTAAGGGGCTTCCCTGGTGGCTCAGTCCATAAAGAATCCACCTGCAAAGCAGGAGACAAAGCAGGAGACGCAGGTTCGATCCCTGTGCCAGGAAGATACCCTGGAATGACAACCCTTTCCAGTATCCTTGCCTGGAAAATCCCATGAACAGAGGAGCCTGGTGGGCTACAGTCCATGGGGCTGTAAGAGTTGGACTCGGCTTAGTGACTAAATAATGCTTCTATGAATATTTGTGTATATGTTTTTGTGTGGACATATATTTTCTTTTCTCTTGGATATATACCCAAGAGTGAAATTCTTTTTACTTTTTATGATGAAAGCTTTCAAAAGGACACAAAAGCAGGCTGATGGTACGGTGACAGACCCGCCCCCACAGCTCCATGCAACCATCAGTCAGCTTCAGCAGCTAACAGTTCATGGTTACCCTGTTCCACCACTGCGTTATTTCAGAGTAAATGCCACGCTTATCGTTTCATCTGTAAACTGTTCAGTATTTATCTCTAAAAGATGAGAATCTCTTAAAATAATTACACTGCCATTAGCACACCGGCCGGAAGCAATATCATCCTTAATGTCATCAAATATCCCAGTGTCCACGTGTCTGGTTGCCTTTTCTGCCCCCAGTCGGATTGTTCAGATCATATTCTGAAGCAAGGCCCCTGCGTTGCCTCTGGTTAAAGGGTCTCGTAGGATCTTTGCTCTCTGGGTCCTTTCCCACATTTATTTTTCCTCCTTGCTTATTTGTAGGAGGCACTGGATCACGTGTCCTGGAGACTTCCTCATATCTGGGTTTCACTGATTTCATGTGGTCCTTGCATTTCCTGTAAAATGTTAAATCTAGACAACTGACCTGGTGTAGTGTTTGTTCTTTTAGTTATTTATTCTGGCTGCACTGGGTCTTGGTTACAGAGCGTGAACTTCTCATCGCTGTGGCTTCTTGACACAGAGCACGGGCCCTAGGACACGGGCTTCCGTAGCTGTGGAACCCAGCGCTGAGGTGCCCCAGGGCATGTGGCATCTTACTTCCCAGACCAGAGGCTGAATCCATGTCCCCTGCATTGGCAGGTGGCCTCTTAACCCCTGGACCACCAGGAAGAGGATCCCAGTGTTGTTTATTAAAAGGACCCTATAATGCCTTTTAATAAGCCTTTGTGGAGGGCTGTTGTGTGCCCAGCCCCACGGTGGGCCCCGGGAGACCGTGGCTGGCCAAGCAGTGCACCCCCACCCTCTGCTCCCAGATCAGGGTGGATGGGGCTGGGGGAGCGCATACATGAGTCCCCGGGCTGCTTGCCCACCGGCCGTGGGGACTGGCCAGCACCCAGCGGGTGCTCCCCTGGGCGGGTTTGTCAGCGGGGGGCCTGAGGACGGTCTGGGCCCTGGCTGATGTCCTGCCACCCCGCCCCGCAGGCGTGGCCCCGGGCGCCGTCCGGGCGCCGCGCCGCCACCCTCCGGTGCTTCACATGGTGCTGGAGGCGCTGCAGGCCGGGGAGCGGCGCAGGGGGACTTCAGTGGCGGCCATCAAGGTCTACATCCTGCAGAAGTACCCGACGGTGGACGCCCTCCGGCTCAGCCACCTGCTGAAGCAGGCCCTGGCTACGGGCCTGCACCGCGGCCTGCTCATCCGGCCCGTCAACTCCAAGGCCAAGGGGGCCACCGGCAGCTTCAAAGTGAGTGGCCCGGGGCGGGGGTGGGGGGGGTGGGAGTGGTGGGAGGTGGCAGGGGGTCCCGGGGTGTGGCGAACTTGGCCCCGGGCTTGAACTCCAGCTCCAGGTCTTTCTTCCCGAGCTCTGGGTGCTGTTCCCTCTCCTCCTGTCTCTTTTTCTTCTTCCTCTGTCTTCACCCAGACGCCCCCTTCCCCACCCCGGGGAGGCTGAGCCCAGACCCGGCCCCCGTCACCCTGCTGCATCCACCTCATTCCTTGTTGGGTGGGACCCGTGACCAGAGACCGTCTCAGCTGTTTCACTTCTGGGTCCTTGGTGCCCGTGACCCCTTCCTGGAATTCCTTTATCAGGGGTGGCCCAGGCCCAGCCTTGGCCCCTGCAAGGTCACAGCCTTGGGGTTAGCTCCCCACGCACCCTGGCTCCAGATCCAAGGTCTCCAAACCCGGGCTGACACCTCCCTGAGCCAGCACGTCCTCCTCTCTCAAAGGGGTGAGACACCCAGAGCTAAGAGCAAATTTGGCACAAAGGTCAAACCCCAGCATCGTGACTGCCATCTGCCACCAGGGACATCTTGGATCCCAGATCCCAGGGACCTGGATCCCAAGGGGCCCGGACCGGGGATACGTCTTGTCACTGCTGTGCCCCTCTGACAGTTGCCGTGGAACTTGGTGGAACATTCTCTAACTGCCCGTCCCAGTCCCTGTGGGGACAGGCTAACTGAGCCCAGGGAGACCCCCTCCTGGAACTCCGCGTGTGTGGGTCTGAACTTCGGCAGCTGCCATGGCAAGGCCAGGGGCACAGGGTGGGGTGAGGGGGAGCTGGAGAGGGGATGCTGGGGTTATGTGTGATGGGGAGGCAGTCAGGAACCTGGACCAGGGGGTGGGAGGCAGGGAAGGGGGTCTCAGGTACCACGGAGTCAAGGTGTGTGTGTGCTGGGAGTGGGGGTTGTTTTCTGGTCATGGTGGGAAACAGGGACCCATGAGGATTCAGGGATGTTGGGGAGCAGTGTCATCAGAGCTGGGCTCTAGAAGGGCAGAGCCAGGCATCCCTGCGTCCCCCTGCTGCTAACACTCTCCCTGATGACCCCATTGTAAAGATGGGGAGACTGAGGCCCGAGGGGGAGGAGAAGACTTGGACAGGTTGAGTTGCACGGCTGGGGTTGACGCCCATCTGCCCTCCGTGTCCATGTTCAGCTGCAGAGCAGGAAGTGGCCAGGAGACCTAGGGACGCAGTGGCATGAGGTGGGGAGGGGGTGTCAGGGCCACAGTCCACGGGGAGGTGTTGCGGGAGGGTCAAAGATGCTTCATGGGTTAGCATCAGAGGACAGCGTCAGGGCTCACAGTGTGTGCTGGGCTCCGAGGAGCCAGGCTCTGAGGCTTCCAGGGGCAGGGGCAGGAGGTGCGTGCCTGCCACCTACGCGGGGAGCAGGGAGAACGCTGGGTGAGTTTTGCAAACTCTAGTCCCTTAGCTCCTCCATGGCAGCACCTCCCTCGTGGTGCAGGGCGGGGTGGCGTGCACTACTGGCTTCCAGCTTTTAGGAGGCAGTTGTTCATCCTCTCCCCAAGCCCTTGGCCGCTGCCTTCACCCCCTCCCTGGGAATGGGGTCTACTCTGAGCCTCACGTAGGGTGTCGGGGCGTGAGATGCCCAGACCTTTGCTCTCAGTTCCATCCCGTTCTCTCCTCCGCCAGTTAGTCCCCAAAGACAAAAGGAAAATCCCACCCAGGAAGACAGCCCCCAGGATGTCCGGTCAAACTGAGGGGAAGGACCCCAAGAAGCCGAGTGAGTCAAAGAAGGACCCTGCCAACCCAGGCGAGGTGAAAAGAGGATCCAGGAAGCCCGGAGAGGGGAGGGCAGCTCCCTCCAAACCAGGCGCAGCCAAGAAGGCCCCCAAGAAAGGCACGCAGACCAAGGACCCAGAGGCAAGGCTGGGTGAGGCCAAGAAGCCCTCCCAACGGCCAGAGGAGGCCGCTCAGGCCCCTCCCAGTGCCAATGGGCCCAGTGGGAAGTCGGAGGTCAAAGAAAGAGGGGGCCGCCAAGGTATGGGTGTGAATGGGCTGGGCTTGGGATGGGGTTTCTGGCAGCCACTGGCCACGAGTTGGGATGGAGGGGTCGGTTCTGGGGAGGAGGGGGTGTCTACTCAATGTGTCCTAAGCACTTGGCGTGACCCGGAGAGACAGAGAACTCGGGTAGCTGATGGGGGTGGGAGGAGGGGTCAGCTCTGAGAGGGGTCTGGGGAGGCTTCCTGGAGGAGGTGGCGCAGGCAGGAGAACAGCTTGTGCAAAGGCCTGAAGGCATGAAGAACGTGGCTGTGATGAGCTGTGCACAGTCACTCAGTCGTGTCCAATTCTGTGACCCCATGAACTGTAGCCCGCCAGGCTCCTCTGTCCATGGCGATTCTCCAGGCAAGAATACGGGAGTGGGTTGCTATGCCCTCCTCCGGGGGATCTTCCCAACCCAGGGATCGAACCAGGTCTCCCGCATTGCAGGTGGATTTTCTACCAGGGAAACCCAAAAGGTGGAAGAAGTCTAAATAGTCCTGCCTGTGTGCCTCGGGAGCGGGAGAAGGGGAGGCTGTGAGGGGCAGCGGGAGGCTGGAGTTTATCTGGAAGATGATGAGGAGCCATGGAAAGACCCTGAACAGGGGACAGTTAGGGCCCAAGGTGCTTTTTTTTCTTACGAATCTAAAAAAAAAAAAAGAAAGAACTATAAAAATTGGAGTATGATTGTTTTACAATGTTTTTCTGCTGTACACCAATGGGAATCAACTATATGTACACATATATCCCCGCCCTGGTGACCCGCCTCCGACCCCTCTAGTCATCGCAGAGCACCAAGTCGAGCTCCCTGGGCTATAGAGCTGCTTCCTGCTAGCGATGTGTTTTACACACGGTAGTGTGTGTATTTCAACGCTACTCTGTCAGTTCGTCCCACCCTCCCCTTCCCCGACTGCGTCCTCAAGTCTGTTCTCTACATCTGTGTCTCTGCTCCTGCCCTGCAAAAAGGTTCGATGCCAGTTTTCTAAATTCCACGTATATGCATTAATATATATTTGTTTTTCTCGTTTTGACTGACTTCACCCTGTATGACAGTCTCTAGGTTCATCCACCTCAATAGAACTGACTCAAATGCATTCCCTTTCATGGCGGAGTAATATTCCTTGGTAGAGCTAGACCACAACCCGTCATCCGTCCATCTGTCGATGGACATCTAGGTTGCTTCCATGTCCCGATTGTTGTAAATGAACATGGAGGGTACGTCTCTTTTTGAACTATGGTTTGCACAGGATATATGCCCAACTAGTGGGCTTGCTGGGTCACAGGGTAGTTTTATTTCTATTTTCGTAAGGAAATTCTATACTGTTCTCCATGATGGCTTTATCAAGTTATGGAAAGGCTCCTTGAACAGGGGACAGGTAGGACCTGAGGTAATTTTAAAAATGTGTCCTGGCTGCCGTGTGGAAGATGGGTTGAAGACAAAGGGCTGCTACACCTGTTGGGGCCTTTGGCGTGGATGGATGGAATGAGGGATGGTTGTCCTCCTTCCGCTTAATCCTCCCACTGTTCCCTTGGCCAGAGGCTGTGACCTTCAGTCGGCAGACTCGGGCACCAGGCTCAGAGAGGCTGAACAGCTTCTCCCAGGTCACACAGCCTGCAAGTGTCAGCGTGAGGAATGGGCCCTGGGCAGGCTGTGGGCTGTGGGGCCCCTCAGTCCTTCTGCCGAGCAGCAGCTCCTCCGGAAAAAAGTCTGTCTCACATGGCATCCCCTCTTCCAGCAGATACCAAGGCCCACAGGAAGACACAGCCTGGAAGTCAGAGTTCGAAATCCACCAAGGTGGGTGTCGGGGTGACTTCCCTTGTCTTAATCTCCAGTGGCCAGAGCTTGGGTGTCCCCACTTAAGCCCGGGGCGGGTGAGTCGAGGAAGAGGGTAACTTATTTCACTTTCCTCTGCTCCCAGCCCTCCAGTGCCCGGAGGATCACCGTCCCCACGTTATAGATAGGAGGCTGAGGCTTAAAGAAGGGAGGGCATTTGTCAAAAGCAACCCAGAGCTGGGGTTTCAACCCTGAGTTTGTGGGCTCTGAGCAGTGTGCCCAGCCCTGCCACCTTCTCGTGGTTTGCTTTCTTACAGGGTGAGAATGGTGCTTCCCTGGCCAAAAAGAAAATGGGGGGCAAGGTCCCTAAAGAGACTGCTGGGGAGGGGCCCAAAGCCAAGGCCCCTGTTCCTCCCAAGGGCACTGGGTCCAAGAGAGAGCCTGTACCACTGGCCAGGAAGGCTGAGGCCTCTAAGGGCCCGAAAAAGCCTGGCATCCCCACCAAGTCTTCAGCGTCCAAAGCGGCCAGCAAGAAGGCAGAAGCCAAGGGCTAGAGGCAAGGTGGAGAGATGCAGATTCTACTTTTTTACTCCCCTAGAAACTATCACTCTATTTATTTCACTATAACCTATTTATCAATAAAGCTTTTCTTCCCCACTCATGGGTACGAGAGGAGGCTGGGGTCTAAAGGTTTGGCCATCCAGGGCATGGACCCAGATGGACAGGATGGAAGTTCCTGTCCTGGGAGATGCAAACTGCTACAGGGATGCAAAGGTATGCAGGGGCCTGCGGAGGCACAGGAGAGGTGTTCAGTCCAACCTGAGATCTGGGACTGCTTTCCGGAGGAGGCAGCTTTTGGTCTTAAAAGGATAAGCGGGAATCGCCAGGCAGATGAGGGGGAGGGGCTTGCAGGCATTGGGATGGGACTGGAACAGGGGCAAGTTGTGGCTTTGGGAGGAGCACAGGTTGGGGGCGCGTGGCATGAGCCCCTGGGCCATGGGGGATGGGGCAGCAAGGCGTGGAAGAGTAGACTCGGGAAGGCAGGCGTCATCCTGGGGGCAGTGGGCGCCAGGGAGGGTTCCAGGCAGGTGAGAGACTGACGTGTGTGTTGAGAAGGAGCTCTGCGGTTACAGAGAGGAAAGATTAGAGGAGCTGAGAGGAAGTATGGATCACTGGACTAGTCACTGAGCGGGACTGTGGGTCTGGCGGCAGGAAGGGGAAGTGCAGAGGCCCTGGGTTGGGAATGAGTACCGGAACTACGAGGCAGCTCATAATGGCCAAAGCCCACACAGAGACAGTAGCCGGAGGTGCAGAGGTGAGGCCTGGGTTTTTTTAAAAACATGTGACACTGCACGAGGAGAGATTGAGTCTGCCTCCGTGCCCCTTGATTCTGGGCTTTGTGATCGCGTGAATCGGGTACTGAGATGACACTGGGACACTTTCTGGGCCCAGGGCTCAAGAGGCTGGCAGCTTCTGCTTCCTGTGTGTGGGGTGTTTTTCCATTTTTTAATACTTGTGCTTAGAATTCAGCCACCACGAAGTGGGAAGGACCAAACAGCCGGTGGATGAGAATCGAGACACCCCAGTTCTCAGCCCCAGCTGAGCTCCTTGACCAGCCAGCACCAGTTTGCCCCCCTTGGGCATGTGCCAGCTGGGAACCGGATCTTCTGCCCCTGTTGAGCGGCCCCACTGACACCAAGGGACGGGCCTTCCCTCGCAAGCCCTACCCCGACCACAGACACATGAGCACCGTGAATGTGCTGAGGTGGTTTGTTACGCAGCAGTAGACACCATAACGAGAGCTGCAGGGTGGACAAGGGTTAGATCCTGAAGGGCCTCATGAGCCAGGGTGAGAATTTGGGTTTTGTTTTAACTGTGATAAATGCCCATTTGAGGCCATTGAGCAGCAGGGTGCCCGCAGCAGGACATGGGCAGACACAGGAGGCCAGGGCGGTGTGTGTGTGAGTCGCTCAGCCATGTCCCACTCTGCAACCCCATGGACTGTGGCCTGCCAGGCTCCTCTGTCCATGGGACCCTCCTGGCAAGAATACTGGCGTGGGTAGCCATTTCCCTTCTCCAGGGGATCTTGCCAACCTAGGGATCGAACCTGGGTCTCCTGCATTGCTGGCAGTCTTTTACCGTCTAAGCTACGAGGGAAGCCAGGGTGGTGGCCCCTGCTGCGGTCCAGTGAGGGGGGCCGGCCACGGAGGGAAGGGTCGGAAGTGGTGGATGCTGGGTAGATGTTCACGCTCAGTGGATGGGATTTGTTGAGGGACCGTGTGTAGGAGGGGTCAGTGAGGCATCCACAGTGTGGGGTACACACGACTACCTGCCCGGCGACCACCTGGTGGGTGAGACCTCAGTTCGCTCAGAAGGCTGCTGAGATGGTCCAGATGAGGGGCGACCACTGCGCCGGGGAGCGGGGTGGAGACCGAGGAGTGGATTTGAGGGGTAGCAGAGGTCAACTGGGGCAGATGGACACAAAGGGAAACTGAGGCAGCCCAGCATCGTCTTCCCGCCCTTGCCGCACGGATCCCACGCGAGGCTTTGTCGGGCTTGTCGGCTTCACCACTTCCCTGGGGCCTCTGTCACAGGGCTGCTGGCAGAGCCCCCAGGGCTGTGAGCAGCTGGCAGGGAGCAGGGCTGGCGCTTCCCACGAGGGGTGGTCTGGTTGTGGGAGGCACCCTGGGCAGGTGCTTGGGGGGCGGGCATCACTGGGCACCTCTACGAGCTGGGGGCTGGCCAGGAGTCGTGACCTGGCCAAGGCCAGACAGCATGGAGCACCCACGAGACTCGGGAAAGCCTGCTCCCCGGCTTGAGGACAGACAGTCTGCCGAAGTCCCCACCTGTGACCCGCAGACGGAGCCCACGGACACCTGGAGCTGCAAGGCAAGCCTTCGGGGGCCCAGGCAAGGACTGGGGGCGGTGAGCAGGTGACCCCAGAAACGAGAGATTTCCTCCACTTGCAAATGCGTCTTTAAACTTCAAGGAGGAATTGCATGTTAATCAGGCATTAAAACAGGCTGTGGAATATTTAATGGCACAGAAAGATGGTGCTGATGAAAGGCCGCGTGGGAAAAGGCAGCTTGCAGGATGGAGCACGTCCTGATTCCAGTTCCTACCCGTCTGCCCACATCCCAGACGGGCACACGATTTGGGCTTTGGGACAACATTCTCTGAGATTCAAACCACGGGTGGGTTAGGGTAGCTTTTATTTTCTCCATGCTTTCTGTCCTCCTTGACAGTTCTGCAGAAAGCATGTATTCATTCTAGAATCACACCTCCCCCCCCAAAAAAAAACCCCATCAAATGTGTCAATAACTCACATTAGAAAATCTGCTGCTTAATAAAAAGGCATCAGTGATCAGAATAGAAAATTTGAAAAGATAATCTCTCTCCACCCAGAAGGCACGACAAGAGGAGGCTATTTTTAAAGCTAAAAATTGTTTACTTTTCTCTCCTCACTTTTCTGTGCTCATTAATTCTAGAACTGGTGTTGGTGGGGTTTTGTTTAAATTGTACACATTTCTGTCCTAGTTCTTACTCCTGATATATACGTGTGGTTATTTCTCCTTCCTAAAAGGAAAAAAAGACTTACTTAAGCTGCTTCTAATTTGGGGCTGGTCCTCTAGTGACCTTTCCTGGGGCTCAGTGACTTTCAGCCCCGGCTCAGGCCCAGAGCCAGTTGGGGGGCAGGCAGGGCTGGGGGTCTCCGTGGTATTTGCTGATCCCAAGTCAAGGACAGTGGTGAGGAAGAGTCCAGGGTTATACCAGCCCGGGGCGGTCTGCGTTTCCTCATCTGAATAAAGGGGTTGATGGTACATGTTTGTCAAAAAGTGTTGAGTTAGTTGCTTAGTTGTGTCCAACTCTGTGCGACCCCCTGGACTGTAGCCCGCCAGGCCCTTCTCTACATGGAATTCTCCAGGCAAGCATACTGGAGTGGGTTGCAATTCCCTTCTCCAGGGGATCTTCCCAACCCAGGGATTGAACCCCCATCTCCTGCATTGCAGGTGGATTCTTTACTACCTGAGCCACCGGGGAAGCCCATACGTATTTGTCAAGACTGATGACAAATTCAGGATGAGCATATAAACGTCCGCTCTCTTCCCAGGGTGGTCAGCTTGGAGCTCCCCACACACTCCGGGGGCCACCGTGGACACGCCAGCCCAGAGGAAGTGTGGAACAGAGGAACGAGGGCCTGTGCACACTGGTGTGTCGTCCTCACTTTCCCAAGACCTGGGAGATTCCTCGGCTGTGCTGGGTCAGTTTCTCCATCTGTAAGATGGGGACACATCCTCACGGCCTGTTACACAGGTAAGCAGGTTAGGGGCAGCGGGAGGTGACACAAAGCTGCTGTGGCATTGTCCTGGCGGCCAGTGGGCGCTGGCGTTGTTACCCCGCGGAGCTGCTCAGAAGCCAGAGTCAGTGTCTGCCTGCCCCTCACAAAGGGGGCTGGGCGGGTCCGAAGTCGGGCTCCCCGCCCTCCTTTCTGCTACAAGCACGGCCATCTCAGGATAAAGGCTGGAGCTCACAGCAGGTTTTCCCATCAGGCTTTTATTATAAAGAAGGTTCCAGAGCGTCCCAGCCTCCCCCTCCAGCCCCACCCCGCGGGCCACAGCCCGTCCAGGCACTGACCAGGCCAGCCCCAGGCGGCCACTTCCGACAGAAGAGAAAGGGCGATGATCTCGGGGCTCGGGGGCATCTCTGCCAGGTCCGCCCATCCCTGGAACAGTCATTTCCAGTGTTGCGCTGGGAGCCCCGGGGGCCCCCTCCCAGGGCCTCCGCACTAGCGGCAGCTATTCACAGTTGGCGTGTGATAAGTTTCTTTAATATATAAAAGCTTCTTTTAAAAAAAAACAAAAAAGTGGTGCTATCTTTAGAAACACTTCCAGCAAGATCACGTAGCCCAGCTACAGCCTTGGTGCAATTCAGCCCCCTTCTCCTACCCCCTCCCACCCACCCTCAACCCAAGACGGGTCCCCCGGCCTCAGCCCAGCTCCCAGGACAGCATGGAGCCTCCCACGGGCCATGGACGCCGCCCGCTCCGCTGTTGTCTGCTGGAGCCATAGAAAAACCTGATGCCGCTGGAAGCCAGGAGCGACCAGGCTCCTCCACAGCTGGGCGGAGACGGCGGGGGGCGACATCTTGGTGGTGGAAGCAGGAGCGAACCGAGGGCTGGGTCACAGGGCCTCCCCCTCTGCCAGGCAGGATGAGGTAGCGTTTCTGGCTGTGGCCTGGGGCCCAGGCGGCCCTCTTTGCCCGTTGGCGGCCTCGGCAGCACTGGGCCGGGACAGAGCGAGTCGGGGGGGCACTGTCCAGGCTGTGCTGGGTGGACGGCGTTCAAGGCCCAGAGCTGGGGTTTGAGGGCAGGTGGGAGGGGACGGTGCCCGTGGGGCCAGGGCTCAGAGAAAGCCCCTGGCAGTGTCCTTTCCCAGCCAGCGTCGGAGGCACACGGGGCCCGCGGGGGCGGGGGGCAGAGTGAAGTCACGGGTGGGCGCCCGCCCGCCGGCCCCGCAGCTCAGGCCTCGCTGTAGCACTCGTAGATGTTGTCCTC